GGTAGCCCATGCCTCTAATACTAATATTTAATAATAAAATTAAGTATTATGAATGGCATATTTAAGCTTTCTATCTACTGAAGCGAGTCCTTTAAAATGAGTTTATTGAGCAATTACTGCATAATCAATGCTTTTCTATAATAACTTTCCAAAATATTAGGTTATCGTACGCTTGATTAAGTAATTACTGCAAGAAAAGATGTAGGTGGCGCTTGACTTCGTTTATAGTAACCAAAATGGTGGTGGACGAGTTCAGACCAGATGAGAGGCCGAAATTTTTGTTAACTTGAACAGCATTTTATACGTACTTTAATGTCAATTAATTCTCCCAGAACAATTTAAAGGAAAAATGTGAGTGTGATAAATTCAAAGTTTATATTCATTATTATCGGGGAAAAGTCATATAAGTAAGTACCGGGTAGCCACTGATGACAATGATGGTAAAATTGGTATTGTTACTTGTAAATTTTAAGTCAGACAGTATGTATGAATAACGATAACGGGTAGATGTTCAAAGACAAAATTTAAATTTTTTAATTTATGTAATGTAATATTGTTCTCCTGATTCATTAATCACTTGCGTCAACTTGCAACTTGACTGGTCCAGTGAGTCTTGATCTGCTACACATACAGACACAAATGTGCCTAAGCCTAAACATGAAAAATATGGTTGACCTATTTTTTTTTTTTAAGTTTACAAAGATTATGATTAGGTCCTATTATTATTATATTATATCCATTTAGGTCCTATTATTATTACATCCATGCCATTGAGTTTGAAACCATTGTCATTAATAGTTAATATTAATAATTGATATAATAAAAACCAGTGCCTTCTTCTTCTTCTATATTATTATCTTAAGGGCCCACGATCAATTTATTGATCATTTTGGCTCCTATGCATGTAGATGGGATTTGCAATGTTTCTGTTACTGGTGTTGATGAGGAAATCATGCACAAGGGGTTTGAAGGCTGGAGGCAATAGACACAAATGTGTCTAGTGTTGTCGCCTCAACCGTTCCTTTTGAAAGATTGTTCCAGTCCCTGATTGTCTTGGGCATCCCATTATTTATCTTGTACATCATGGAGAGCCTGGATTGTCGTCGTCGTTTCTCCAATGGTGACCAGCCTAGTGTTTCTAGCATGCTGCCAACACTAGAGGTATTCCTGTAGCGGTTTAGGACAAAGAGTGCTGCTCGTCGCTGGACAGCCTCCAACCTGTCAATGCTCTTCTGGGTAAATGGGTCCCAGACTGAAGATGAATAATCTAAAATCTTTAGATAAAGGCTTTATATGCTCTTTCTTTCACACAGGAGTTGCCAATCTTTAGATTTCGCCTTAAGAACCCTAGGGTCTTGTTTGCTTGGTTACATACATTGTTAATATGCTCGTCCCAGCGGACCTCTCTTTGAATGGTAACACCCAGGAACTTTACGGAGGAAACTGGCTCAAGTATATGGCCGTGCAGTTCGTATTGGTAGTGTAGAGGAGTACAACTTCTAGAGACTGATAGTGTCTGGCACTTAGCAGGATGAAATTCCATGTCCCAGTTTATCTCCCACTCAGCTAACAGATTGAGATCCTGTTGTAGCTGGTCCTGGTCCGATCTGTTGGCGATCGTCCTATACACTGCAGTGTCATCTGCGAACTGTACTGTACTATGAGTAGTGTTACTGATAAGTGATGTAGCCTCCTCCAGTGTAGGCGTAGGCAAAGTAGTAAAATTAAAATATTAAGGTGCAATCCATAAAAAATGACATCAAGACCCAATTGCAATTATAAATTATAATGAAAATTATTTTAATTTATGAACAAGTCCATCAACGCCAAATCAAGTATACAGTAGGCCTGTATCAATTAAATTTCAGATGGCAGAAAGTTTGAAAGGGAATCTTGGCTTGAAGAGCAGTCGTGAGTATACCTATAAAATATAAATATTTCAAAATTTATTTAATATATTATAATATAATATAAAAACATTGAAAATTTTAAGGCTATATATCTGTCATTCATATAATGTATATAGTTTTGGTGCAGATAAAATTGATTGACAGTCACAGATTATGGCAATTAATTAGGACTGCTAAGGATTGATATTTCATCTTTAAAAAAGAAAGGAAAAAAAATGTCTTTAACCAATTCATTACCGCTGAAATTGCATTGACGTCACGATCACCCACTTTCATTTACAAAGGATTTCACATTGTCGTCATAACAAAGAGGCAAAGCACTTTTCTTAATTACCCAAGACGTCACGTCGACGTCATGATTTCAATGCTACAGATCTGTTTACTCTTAAATTTGTACAATATCATTACAAAATCCTGAAATACATTATCTTAATAGTAAAAACATAAATATACAGTATATATAACGTATACACCTCAAAATCGTACATTGTATGCCAAAATCGTAAGAGAAAACAGGTCTGATGCTATAAATTTCTTGTATTCTTTAATTTATAGAGAAGTTAATTAGTGAATCGGATAGAGAATGAAAAGTACCGAAAGTTTCTTCTTTGAGTTTTTAACTGCGCACATTACATAAACATTAAATACTGTGATTTCTTGCATATTCACATCGAATGCTATCCATTGCTTGGTATTTCAAAGTTGGTGACTTGCAAAAATTTGCAGATTCAGCAAAAATCAGTGCCAAAACCAGCAGTAATGAAAGGGTTAACGAAAAGTAATCACTCCATTGATCTATCTTGTGTGTCTATGCACGGGTAACAGATTTGTCACTCAAAGGCCCAATTATCTTACCCCTAAATGTACTTTATTTACTATTTAATCAGCCCTGGCACCCACTGCTTGCAAGTTGTCGACCCAATACTTGGTTTTGGATCATATGACCAATCACTATAACAAGATTGCTAAGGCAAAATGTAGGTAAACATTTAAGCCAGGTTTTTGTGTTAAGCGCTGTTGCAAAAGATTTTTTTAATGCTCCCATGCAGACTTTTTGAGCATGTAAAACCAATGAGTTCTCATTTGAACTTTTCAAGTTAAAATTTTTCAAAACTATAGTTAATATATAGTCACTTCCATCATTCTTTCATGTGGGTTATAATTATTTATGGGAGATGGACATTTTTAACAATTTTTAGTAAAAAAAAAATTACAGTGCAAAATATTATGTGTCATGGTTTCTTTGAAGTAACTAAAACCAAGTTAACAAATCTCAGTAAGATTTTTTAAAGGCTCAGTGCTTAGTAGTATGGAGCAACCAACATTCTAATTGAATTAGACATTTTTCTTTAATTTAAAAAAAAAAAAAAAAAAATTTTTCAGCTGCCATTGATTCAAAACCACCAAGGAGCCTGACAACAAGTCAAAAAAGTGAGTAGACTGGCAAGGGCATGTAACACCGTAATGTCAAAAACAATTTCTAGCATTATGTTTAGCTTTTAATGTTTAACTGGCATAAGTGCACATGGTTTTCCTTACTCTCCCTTATAGAGGCAATTGTATCTCTGAAACTGAATCCTTGATATTATAGTTTATGTCACTATAAAATATCAATTCATTCACTTAAAGATAAATGTTCGTATTCCATCAGTGCGTGACAGAAGGAACAGGGAACTGCTCATCAGCAGTCCCCGGCCCCGACAAGCGTTATCAAGGTCGTACAGTGACTTGCAACGATACCAGGACATTTTTAATGTAAATTTATTTGCTTATTTTATTTATTAAATCGATAGGTTGAAGTGTTTTCTTCTTGATATTTCTATAACACTTTTATGCAAAGCCTTACATGTTAGGAGTAGGGTTTTCCTAGTCCTATTGCTATACTTGGTACCCGCTGTTAATAAGTTTTACTTAGTTGGAATTTATGCTTATTTCACGCATGTCAAGTTTCCAATTTAATGTAAGATTTTACTTACAGGATGAGCCTGAGGATGAGGAAGAAAGACTTGTCCAATCCATCATGAAGACCACTCTCTTGGACAAGCCACAGGGAAGCAACAGGGCCACGCATGGATCGGCATCACAACAAGAATCACATTTCAACAACAGCATTATGTACAAACAGGCAGGCGACGCTCATCAAGGGACAAGACACTCACGTCCAACATCTGCCCGGTCAATTCATTCTGCACGGTCCATTCGTTCTGCTCGTTCAGTACAGTCTGGTCACTCTTTGACCAGCATGACATCCAGAGTGCCTATATCATCTCATGACCCTGCAAAAGTTACCTACCAAGGCGACTTGCTGGATAAAAGGCCTCATCTTTTCACAGAGCCTGACAAAGCATTCACCCCTAGAACTCTCAAAGCCAACCATGAATCAAAGCTAAAAAACTCTAAGTGGTACAACCCGCCCAGGGTCAGCCGTAGTGCATCCAGCAATGCAGATGATACAAAAGAAAATGCAGGTCGTAAGCCCCAACCAAGAACAAGAAAAGACAAATCTGATGTATCCCCAGACCAAGACCATCAAGATGATCCACAGGCGACGGCTCCGCTCTCAGAGTCAATGCTGTTAGACATGACAGTGCGCAGCAGAGATGGAAGGCACGCACAGGATGGAGACCATGACGTACCCCGTCTGGCCATCACCATGGACCAGGACCACATGAACTGGCTGCAGGACCAGGCATCCAAGGCTGAAGTGAGGCAACGCAGCGCGGGGAAGCTTAGGTCGTCGCTCCACTCTGATGATGAGCTTCATGGGAGGTCATCAGAGCGGCGTCACTCCGGTCTTGGTGACTCAGTCAGACTCGAAACAGCAAAAAAGTAAGGGTTTTTGTTTGATTGTTTAGAAATTAGATAAGTGACTTGTTACTTAGAATACGTAGGCCTGGGTTGTTTCCTCTAGTCATTCCCTTCACACAGCATGAAAAGTCTCCACAATGTTATCCTCATTTTACGCATAGACAACATGTCATGACAATTAGATAATATAATAATATAAGCCAATAAGCTATTATCAGGTGTTTGCTTCATTACATCCATTTAGGACAGTGCTTCTCAACCTTCCCTATACCGCGACCCTTTAATACAATTCCTCATGTTGTGGTGACCCCCAAACATAAAATTATTTTCGTTGCTACTTCATAAATATGTGTTTTCCGATGATCTTAGGCAACCCTTGTGTAAGGATCGTTTGAACGCCAATGGGGTCGTACCCACAGGTTGAGAACCACTGGTTTAAGATAATGATAGCTCCTCTACACAGAATTATGTAAAAGGGAATTTTGTGTTGCTTTTCTGACTGATAGCTTAATTTCCGTGCCTGAATCCAGTTTTTCAAATAATAAAATCATCCATCTTATGTAGTCTTTCTTTTTATTCTTCTTTTATTAATGTTATGTTTCTTGTGTGTTTCATAAATAATATAATTACTAGATTATTCCTCCCAAAAATAAATTATTGCACTGTAAAGACAAGTGTGGGAAAGAGGGATTCAAAGTGAAAGAATTTTGACACAATTTTACAAGCCTATTTAACACACCATTACAGTTTACAGCCATACTTACCCAAAAATTACTATTTTTTATATTTTGTCTGTCACTTGACAAATATTTTTTTTTCTCCTCTCTTAGTGATAACTAAAATTTAACTGACACCATTTCTAGTCCTAATTCGTTACATTAACTGTTTTGCTCCCAGGTTTGTAGACCTCCCTCTGAACAACACTCACACACCCCCTCTACGGCCAAATAGTTCATTCACTAAACTTTCCCAGGCCTGGCCGTTCCATTTGTGTTAATCTTCAGAATCACACTTTCTTTTGTGAATATGAAAATCGGCCCAACTAATACAGTTGCTCTTTTTATGCATCACTGCTTATTTTTAGTTCTATTTTATATTAAACCCTCCATCTTTTCCATTTTGTTTCGTAATCCCCCGACATCGTACGAAGCTGGTTCGCAGTAGGTTCTGTGACATCACAGTCATCTATGGCTACATGGATCAGCCAACGCATACTGGAGGAGTGAGTAGCAGAGCAAGGTGTTGAGATTGGAACTCATCTCTCTAAGTCTTGGTGTTGTCTCTGTTCAGTTTGGTTCATTTTTCTCATGGAAATTTGCGCTTCATTTTTTTGTTGATCACATTCAGGCAGAATTTCTCTTGAATTATCACAGCTACTTATCTGGTGATAATCAAGGTTTTTGTTACAATTTTGTTTCACGTACCTTCGATGTACAGAGCTGTATTTATAATTTATATATAGCATAAAAAAAGTCAAGTGTTTTTTCTAAACTTGAACTCAGGTGTGATAACCAAACAAATGAACCGGACACTTTAAGCTTGTTCCTTATTATTGGATGGTTCTCATTTCTACACACTGTGTTTCTTTTTGAGCAATAACTTATCAACTAACGTATCCAGTAGCGTTATCATCAGATTTGGTTTTTTTAAGAATGCATCTCTATTTCTTTGATACAAAACCACAACCAAACGAGCCTTGAAGAAATTTTTAAAAGCTGAAATTGAAATAGTTTCTAGTTATAAAATTATGCTGTATTGATGTATATAATAATTTTTTTTAAATTTTTATTTTATTTATAGAGTTGCGTTTTCCTCAATGTTTTTAAAGTTTCACATTTCACCCTCTCGGTAGGCTTTGAACTTTAGGACATATTTGCACTTGAAACTGATAAAGGCCTAGGACTTTAGGACATATTTGTACTAGAAACTGATAAATACAATCATCAAAACCTTTTTTTTTTTTAATTTTCTAATAGAATTGTCACCATTAAATTTTAAAATGGCACCTAACAGTTGACATGAATCTCTCTAAAAGATTAATTAACCAACTTTACTGTTTAATTTCCAGAGAGACATTAAATCATTGCTCTCTGAGTACAGGCTGTGATTTGAATTTAAATCAGAGAATTGTTGAAAACTGTATTGTTTGATTCTATGCATGCTGTCTGCAGTCTCTAGTCACTGGCTTCAATTAAAACCTTCTCTACTACCTAGCATGATGCTAACATTAATCTTTCAATGTTTGGACTTCATGTATAGTTTATTAACAACCTTGAGTAGCTTAAATATTTCTTGTCTTGTATTTTTTAAAAACATAAAATGTTTTCCAAACAAGTTGAGTCACATTTTGATACATTTTAAATTTTTAAAAATACAAAATTGATCTTTTCTGTTTCACAGAGATGAAGAGCAGAAGTACTTGGCTTTCGCTAGGGAGGTCACAGATGATGTCAGGTCTCGAGGGATCTGTGCTGACAGGTACATGTCTGCCTGAATCTGTGTTCAACTGAAGTCTGTTAATATTTCCCATTTCTATGTCAAAGTTCAATAGTGCAATAGTTCAACAGTTTAATAGTTTAATGATTTGAGTTATTAGAATGACCCCCAGCATGAGCATTGATTATAATACTAAGGTTGCTTTCAACTCCTCATTTTTGAAAAATGTTCATTCATTTTAAGACACTATTTTGATTTTCCTTTGTAAAAGCTGATTAAAGAATTGCATCGTGGTAACAATGAAAGCTGTTACCCAACAAATTTTATGGTTAAAAAAAAAAACTTATCCCACCTGTTACTGTTAGAATAGTTAAATTGTAAATATACTACCTAGGCCTAAAGCAGTGCCCTTTTAAAAGTTATTTTTTTAGATTACTTTTGTGTATGTTTTGGTGTAATGAACAATCAGATGGCATTCATTGTGATAAGTTTTAGAGTTGAAGAAGGTGTAAATTATCAGCCATTCATTAAATCAAACAGAGTTTGTACATTGTTTCATTTTTGCCTGTCTTCCTTCAGTGTACTGCACAGAGTATTTGACAATCATATAGAGCGGAAGAAACATGAGTTAGATGAGGTAAAGATGAGGAAAATAAAAGATAAAATATTAAAGTCATGAGAGTGGATAAATCTGATGACATGGGATAGAAATATTTATAAAGTTTATTGAGGAGGGTTTGAATATTTTTAAATAAATTCATTTTTCTCCACAAGTGCGCTGTCACATTATGTCATCTACATTCATAAATGCCTCATTGTCAGGTCTTTTTTATTAGAACATTTAAATGAAAAAGGGAATTAAAGCATGGAAGATTGATGTCTTTATTGATGTCTTCATTGATCACGAACTAATGTTTAATTAATGAATAAATACTTTTTTTTTTTTATATCCTTTCCCAAACCACAGACACGCATGAGAAAAGTAATAAGTGACTTGAAAAAAGATTTGGGCTTATCTGACTTGGCCTACACCCCAACCACCCCCAGTAGAAAGTCCAGCGGTAGAGTGAACGGCAGCCCAGCCCCGAGCAAGGTCAATGGCAGTGTGGAATCTAGCAGCACCAAAGATGGCAGCTTGTCGTTCCCCATCATCAAGGATGACATGTCAACCCTAGAACCTCTGAATGTCATGTCAGACATGGGCACAACTCTGGACTCGACATCCACCATCAAGTTCGGCCAAACTGGAGACATGTTCAGCACTATCAATTCACTAGGGGAGCAAGAAGCTCTCGAGGAGAGCAATCAACAAACTGATGACAGCCCTTTGACCGCCACACAAGCTCTGATGCAGTACCAACTCAGTCTCACAGCTGAAGAAGCCAATGGTGATAGGAGCACAAGTGACGCAACTAATTCTCACACTGAGCCAAGCCACTCAAGCAATGGGAAACAAAATCACATGGGTCATCCTGCCAAGCTTGCACGTCCAGCAACTGGAGAAAGGAGAACCACTGCCGATGAGGATTCTGCATCTGACGCGTCTGGCGTGCAGAGATCGGGTTCAAGCACTGTTGAAAATTTGAGCCGCGTGAAACGGAGACAACGCATGCAGAGGACACAGGATCTAGACCTGTCATCGAGTGCCACATCTGACCAGATCAACAGCCATTCACTTTCCAGACATGACACAAACAACAGTGACGACACGATTATAGGTCACAACGGCAGTCTTGTCAACAAGAGTTTGAAGTCCAGCAGTCATCTGGAGGGTTCTCAGGATGTAAATGATGACACGGACTCAGTGATAAGTTCTGTATCATCTCAGAGGCCTAAAGCCAAACCGAGACTTGGTCGCAGTCAACAGCCAGCAATTGTAGAGTCACATCAGGATGTCAAAGTGGAGTCACATCAGGATGTCAAAGTGGACTCACATCCGGGTGTCAAAGTGGACTCACATCATGGTGTAACAAGTGATAGCTCTGAGACTGACCAGGTCAAGCAGCCAGATGAGGATGATGGTGAAATAAAAGAGGAGTATGAGGATGATTATGACGATGACTATGATGCTGATGGAGATGAAGGTCAGGGTGGTTCTACTCATCGTACATCAGATGATGATTTTTGAAATGTCTATGACCTTGACCATTTGTTACTCAGAAAATATGATGCTCACGTGCAGTTGGGCTGGTATTTCTGAGAAAATTTTCCAAAAAGGAATACAGGGTATTTCCAGTTGGCCTGCCATTCTGGAAGCCTATATTTCTCAATATTTTATGTCTCAATTAAAAAAATTAGTTCCTTATGTAGTGCTAAAATAATCATCCAAAAAATGTAAGGAAATGGCCTCATTAAAACAAATTAATTGAAAGAAATAATAAAAGATGCAGATTAGAGATTGTGGAGTTATCAAAAGTGGGCCTTGCACTGTTCATTTAGACGCCACTTTGACAGTGGGTCTTAAAATGTTCATTAGGGCACCAATTCATGAGTACCCTGGGGCTTCACTTGTTTACCATCAGATTTTCAGCTGAATCCTACATTGACTTTTGGTGTGGAGTTCTTACAATTTTTCAATAGTAGCAGGAAATAAGTTTAAAACATTTCACTGCTGCAGATTCTGGGTAGCACATCAGCATCCAATGGCGACAGATGACCAATTTTATTTCACAATCATGTGGGATTTTTTAATTTTCTTAACATCTGTAGCTAGCTAGTGGTGCAGGGAGGATGGAGGCCACTGGTTAGGTAGTGATATGAAGAGGCTGTTGCCAACTTCATGTAGTTAGGTGGAGTCTGAGGAGTGAAATTAAAGTGTCTCTGATTCTAAATGAAATATAGAAAATTAGAATTGTTTAACCTCATATACTGGACTTAGTGTTGTACAACAAGATTAGGGCAGTGAATATTTGTTACAAGTGAGCATTTCTAGAATAGTACTATCTGCTGGGCTGGTATAGTACTATCTGCTTGGCAGGTATAGTACCATCTGCTTGGCTGGTATAGTACTATCTGCTGGGCTGGTATACTACTATCTGCTGGGCAGGTATAGTACTATCTGCTGGGCTGGTATAGTACTATCTGCTGGGCGGGTATAGTGCTACCTGCTGGGCGGGTATAGTACTGTTTCCTGGGCTGGTTAAGTCCTATGTAATCTTAGAAATGTGGAACCAGCCTCAGCAATAGGTTTTTCAAATGAGACTTGAAACTTGTTTGCTTTGTCATTATCATGCATGCACCATTAACTGATGATGTCATCTGTGCCAAAACTTAACCCCACCCTCAAACCCACCCAGCAAGTTGATTCTGTGGTGTACAAATATTTTGTGAACACTTTCATATTTATATCTGTGCCAAAACTCCCACTCCACCTCTTGGGTTACTTTTCCCTCCCTACAACTAAAGGTCAACTAAAAACATTTGCATATCTTTACTATGGCAGAAGTGGTGCGATCAGACACTGGATTCTTGTTATATTTATACCTACTAGCTCACCCCCACCCCTTTTTTATTTACAACAAAAAAAAATGGACATTTTCAACTTAAATTGTGTTTGACTACAAGAAAATTATCTTCCCTGCCAACATAACCACATGAAGCCATACTGTGCTGAGTGACTCCCCCCCCCCCCAAATCACCTTTTTTTACTTCTAGTATCTGGCTTTCACATCTAAGACACAACTTTCTCAGCACAATTTTGGACCCAGGTCTAGGATGTAAATGTATTTTTTTTTATTCTATTTAAAAATAATGTAATTGCTTCATTCCTTTTCTTATGTGTAATGAAATAAGCTGAGAGTATTGAATATAAACATGGCAAGTATTTATTTCATTCTGTTTTAATGCACCCACCAGAATGAAAATGTCCCGTCTGTACAAATAAATAACATTCTATTTCCATATCTGTGAATGGTGTTTGAAATGAATGTACACAGGCCTGGTTCTGGCCAATCAACATCTCAATATTTGACATGTCTCAATTTTCAGTGCATATAAAAGGGAAGTCCATGTGCGCTGATCAGCACCCCGCCAAATTTTAATTTTAATACCATCCAGTCTCAGCACCCTGCCAAATTTTATAAGTTGTTCATGTTTACTACCCTCAAGTCTGGTGATCACCTTATATCCATGTGCCAAGATTGTCTGTGATATTCTTACAAAAAATAAACTTGAATATATTCCTCAAATTGAAATGTTCTGTTATGATGATTGATTATAGCAGACTAGACCAGTATCTCTAACTAAACCAGTATCTCTAACTAGATCAGTATCTCTAACTAGACCAGTATCTCTAACTAGACCAGTATCTCTAACTAGACCAGTACCTCTAACTAGACCAGTATATCTAAGAATATGTGTGGTTGTCAGTGACTTCATCAGTATTTTTCAGAAACCTTTTTAAAAAAGCAAAATTTAAAATTAAATAACTAAGAGAAATTAATTTTAGAACATACATTTATTGCTGACCCAATGCAGGTACCAGTACAAAAATTATATTTGTAGAGCACAGGTGAATTTTGAGACATCAACTATTAAAAATTTAAAGTGAATAAATTCAATGAACCATTTTCCTTATATAATTTCATGCTTAATATTTAGAGCAACGTCTAGGGGATGAGTAGGACATGTGGATTATTATTACAAGATTTAGATTATATATTTTGTTTTGCTTCTTGTGAAGATTATCTATATTTTTCATTTTAATGTACCACCTAAACATTAAAGATCATCTTTTTTTTTTAATAATAAAAATAAAAACCTGAGTAACATGGAACATTTTCATAAATGTCTTTGATTTATTTTTTTTATATTTTTTTAAAGTAAAATTTAGGTACAAGTACTATGGTGAATCGTTATAAAAGGGAATGGATATTTTAGTTCACATCAAACTCAGACGTAGTGATATCTTGGAACAGATTACTTGCTAAATAATGTATGCAAGATATTAACATTATATTTCTGGCCATACAAATTTGTTTTTTTTATCCAATATAAATTTATTTTTTTTTAAACTGCTTATTTTAAATAATAATTTTAATACGATCCAACAATTGCGAAATTCAATGTAATAGTTATTAAATGAACTTTCACTAAAAACTAATCTTTGCATTTATTCATTACAATAAATGAGAGAGAAAAAAAATGCTGTATCTCTTTCACATTTTTTCTGACTGGCATGTGGGTTATGGCACTTATTAAAGCTAGCTTTGTTACTTCCCCTGTTATGTTTCAGAAAGACAAAGACACACTGCAAGCTGCTGCATTTGTTAAAAAAATAATTCACTAACAAAGCTATGGAATGTATTAATGTTAACACATTTAAATTCATCATAATAAACTCTTCAAGTTAGCTCAAATGCATGGAAATTAATAGCATGACATCATTAAAAAAAATGTGCTATTTAAATAATCATCACCCCCCCCCCCCCCCCCCATGGGTTGTGCGATAATTTTCAACAAATTCTTTGATTACATCAGATTGTTCACAGCCTTTGGTTATGTGAATTTTTAAACTTAAACATTAGCAAAGGTGATTCTCTCTCATAATTTCCTTATAAATACACAACATTTCATGCTGGATGATGAGTCTTCTTTAACAAATATCAAAGTTCTTGATGTCACATCAAACAAGTTCTTAATTAAACATTCCTATCATGGATTGTTGTAAACTGGAAGGCTTGCATATTTAACTTGTTGCAGCTATTGTTTTCTAGCACAGCAAAAGCAGACACACGTTTTATGGTAAACATTTTTTTTTTTAAATTTACGAGCACTCCTTGAAAACTGATAATGAGTAGATTTGTACAAAGGTTGGCTCCCCATATATTCCAAAATTAGTTCTCACCTTTCACCTCACTAAAACAAGATAGAAAACAACACGAGAGAATTATTATGGCTGGTCAAATTTGTTTCTCTGAATTTTTTTTTTAATTAACAGCAGGTTTCTTATTGGCACGGTCTACCTACCCACAATTAACAGCAGTGTTCTTAATGACATGGCCTACCAGCAACAAATTGTGTACTTAAAAATTAAAGTTCACAAGAAGAAAAACCTTTGATTTGAACAGAACTTTGATACATAATAAACTGTAATTAAATTGTTCCACAGAACTATGCAAAACTGAAAAAGTTTGAAAGCTATAGTACAACCTTAAAGCCTATGTGATGTTGTGTTAATAACTACTGGTTGATGTACGATTCAATTTTTATTTTCGCAAAAGTGTTAAAATATTTGTATTATGTACATGTATTATGTACATTTGACCATATTAGGGTAAATTAAAAGATTTCAATTATTCTTGATTCATATTTTTTGGACATAGCATAACTATGAATTAATGTACATTTTATATTTAATGTGTAATGCAAGTTGATTGCTGACACATGGGGGACCAATGCAAGCAATAGACACATGACTGTATGATCATAGCTTTACAAAAATTTATATAATTCTCAATAATCCCTTCAGTATCGTTCAGTCTTTTTTTTTTAGCTAAATGCTAAATCAAAAACAAGCAAGAATTCAATTGAGTCATCGTAGTCCCGTTGGAGGTAAGCCACTCTAGTCAAGATTATGTGAATAATACATGGAAGCATATATATAAAAAATAATATCTTGATTGACTTAAACTCAAGACAAGCTGAAACAGTTTAATATAACAGTCATATTTACAGCCACGGGAAGATTTAAAAGTTGTGTAATGTGCTGGAAAGTGATAAATTAATGGGACTTCTCAATGATGCAAATGTCGAGGGTGTGCTCCCAGGCAGCATCTATTTGAGAGCACATCAGATTCTTTGACTGGTAAAATACCAAAAACTGTTGTTACTTCATAACCTATTAGTGATTATTTTTAAAATTATGTTAGTAATAGAATTACGTAACAATTAAATTCTAATACTAACATACCTTACGTCTTTATAAGGCTCTCCTATCATACCAATATATTCACATGTGCATATTTTGAAGCCTCTATTGAGCAAAATAAGCATTATCAGATTAAACCAGGTGGAAAAACTCACCTAGTCCGGCACTAAGTGTTATCAGGTAAACCCAGGTTACCTGCTTTTTTGGTTATTATTATCGTAAAGCTCACTGGTAGTAGAATAGCTCATTGGTTGTAGACTAACATTTATTATTATGATATTGAAAGCTTTTTTAAAAAAGTTTCCGCACATGACAAAACAACAGGTATTATCGTGACATCATTTACAAAATAATATGACGTCATAGATTGCAGGTCATCATATTACAGGTGGCTGTAACTCATGACAAATTTATATTTTCAGAGTAATGGTAACCAAAATATTTTACACCAAAAAATAAATGTTATTTTACAAAGATTGACAAATGATCCATAAGATGTTTACAGCTCCTTTAAATTCACACTACTTTGATGGGAAAATGAACTCATCTAAACAAAAATTATATTCATTTAAAACCTTTGAAGACTAGATTTAAAAAATCTGGCTTAATCTATGTTATTCTAAAATTTCCATAGCTGACTCATGCCGAAAGACTCACAGAAATTTCCTAACTTAAAATGTTATCATTTCCATTTGATTGCCTGAAAGGAAAAAAAAAAATAATGATACATTTGAGAACTATTGGAATAGTTAGTTTGTATTTGAGAATTATTGGAATAGTTTGTATTTGAGAATTATTGGAATAGTTAGTTTATATTTGAGAATTTTTGGAATAATTACTTTATCTCATAACAATAATGTCTAAAATGGAAAATAAATATTTCATTAGAGCTCTAGTGAAAAAAAAATGTTTATAATTATGTTATGGCAACTTCAAATTTCTATTTGAAAAGTTACCTTTTCATTGAACAATCATTTGCAAGATGATGGATCAGTGGGTTTGTTCCCTTTACTTAGGTTTTCACTCTCCTCAGGTTACTCACAGGTAAAAGTAAAAGGAGCGGTTGGGTGATTTAATTGAATAGACATGAACTTGGAAAGGACACAAAGTCCAACCTGTTTGCCTGATGGCCCATAAGCCTCCACTATACAGCAGTAAGCCACATGCAGTGGATCACTGAACTATTATCACATCAGTGTACAGCAGTAAGCCACATGCAGTGGATCAATGAACTATTATCACATCACTGTAAAGCAGTAAGCCACATGCAGTGGATCAATGAACTATTATCACATCACTGTACAGCAGTAAGCCACATGCAGTGGATCAATGAACTATTATCACATCACTGTACAGCAGTAAGCCACATGCAGTGGATCACTGAACTATTATCACATCACTGTACAGCAGTAAGCCACATGCAGTGGATCACTGAACTATTATGACCAGTCTTTAAATAGAACATCTCCATTAAAACCTACCGAACTGTTTAAAACATCTGCAGCATACAACCCTTCCTTGGAATAACGATCCAACGTTGAGGCATACGTCGACAGCTCTTGTCTGTTCTTCATGGCAACAAGTGTCTGAAAACAAGTCATTTATTGATTTAGGGTATAGAGTAAAACCTCCTTATGTTATCCTGTGCCGAGTGGTCAAGTGGTCTAAACTGAGTCAATCCCACGCTGGTGGACTGGATTTCAATCTCCAGCCAAACCAAAAACATCACAAGCACACCGGTAACCTCGAAAAGCGAATCATCTAAGAGTAGGCAAACTCGGTGATGACATTGATACAACTCCTGGGACATGGAACGCATAAAGAGCACAAGAAACACTGCTGGTCATCCACTACATCCTGGTCACTTTCCAGTCAGCTTGGAACAAACAGGCAAGGACCAGAGAGAGAGAGAGAGGCAGACAAGCAACTCTCCCTCACTTTGAAAATTATATAGCTCAGGTTGAAGCCTTGGCTACCACTCTAGCGGAAGCCTTGGCTACTGCTCAATCCAAGGCTACGACTCAAGTCAAGGCCTGCTACTTTAGTTGAAACCGTGGTCATCTTTGCATGCGAAGGACAGACACATAATCCTGTGCTGACAATCTGATGAATGATATTTCAGATTTTCAAGTAGTGCATGATGTGGCAAAGATTAAAAATTAACAACTGTTTTCCCATGGTTGCAAAATCTGAAAAGCTTCATTTAAGAACCATAAAAATTTTGATCCATTACAATGTAGTACAAATTAAGACATGTAGTACAAATTAAGACATTGTTCTAAGCTTGCTCTGTAGAGATTAGGACATTTCAAAGCTTATTACTTAATAGGCACAAGATTTGAATTAGGACATGATTGCTCATATCAATAAAAGGAGTTAAACATTTTCTGTGAACTTTGAAAGGGGGACACTTGCCCAAAAACTAATGGCAAGGAACAGAGAGAAACCATTTGCAACACAAAAATCAACTGATAATTGACATTTCCATTTTTTATCCCACTAATAATCACTGTGATTTTCCGAATTTCAGTGTGGACAAAAAAAACAACTCAATGATGAATAGTTTCTGTTTTGTTTTTAAACTGCTAGCGCTGGTGAGTCTGAATTTGTTCTGACATATAAAAGTTCAATTTTTCAATATAACTCATGGTCAGTATTTAAAATACTTACATCTACCACAGCCTTGCTACACTGAACTTTCTTGGCCAGCTGCAACCTGAGGTCAAGGTCACTGATCATGGCTAAATATTTGTCTAAAACCTGTGGGGAAAATGTGATATTTTGAGTCAGGTTTATATCATAAAGTAAACAATGTTCTTACAGAGGAATTACGCACTGTTTTTACTACCATAATCCAACACAAGTGACTACCCTTGACACATTTGCAGCTTTTGCCTCCAGTCTTCCAAACCCAGTTCATAAAACCCTTACTGAGTAACCCTTGCAACCAGTGAAGTATACCCTTGAAAACCATGCACAGTAACATCGCGAACCCCTCTGAAAAATAGGAGCCAGAATGATCAATCCATTGATCGTGGGCCCTCAAAATATAGAAGAAGAAGAACTTTTCTAAAGAAACAGTGAGGTTGATTTCACTAAAAAGAAATGCACAGTTCAATATAACTATCATAAAATTGAAACAGGCAGGCACGGTAGGCCACAACATTTTTAATTACAAGTGTAAAGATATGAACAATCCAGGATTCCTACCTCAGGAGGTGCATTGTGTTTGTGTAAAATTTCAACTACTTTGTCAAATCCTATGCAAGACTTTAATTTGGTACCACCAAAAAACCCCTGGGGAGGAAATAAGAAAAACAAAATAATGTGAGAATCAAAAATGGCAGCTCACAAATATATTGTTAGATTGGTTGGACTAGTTTTAGGTTATAAAAATATAAATAAGAATTTGATTCTAATTTTACAATAAATTCATGTAATTGTACATTTTTTGTATACTTGTTGACATAAATAAATCTGGGATGCTAACTATTAATTTAAATCATGTTAAAAAAATTATTTTAGTTCACTTTGTTTCAGCCCTTTAAAGATAATTTTAGCAGAATATCACAGGTTATTTTATATAAGTAATAACAATATCATATGAATTGGGATAAAACTAACTGTACTGACCAGGTAATACTCCTTACCTTAGCTGTCAGCAAGGCTTCTATATCCTTCCACTGACGTAGCTTGGCTCGTGCTGAAATAGCTGTCCATGTGAACTGTTTATCGGAAATCTAGCAGAAATTGAAAATTTTTTACATTTTGGATGATACACCAATGGCTCTGTTTACTCAGAGTTATGCCCCTGTCACCCAAACATTTTGCTGCTGGACTGGAATGAAATTATGCCCCTGTTGTGATTCGTGCAAACTTTGTAACTAGTTCCAGGATTTTCAGATCTGAATTTCCTGAACAAAATTTTGTAAATATTTTCACCTGATAAAATCTCATTGTTTATTAGCAGGCAAATATTGAACAGCTTTGAAGCTTCAAGCCAATGTGTCTATTCAAAACGACAGCTGGTTTTTGTAGGAGTGGACAATGAATGAATAATGTTTTAAAATAGCTATCAGCATTTGGGGGCTAAATTGTTTGAACTTTAGATTCTTTTGATCCCAATATTTCAATACAGCACAGGCATTTAATGACTTTACATAGTTAAAGAAATCTATCACTTAATGAAATTAATGTGAAGGCTGTTCTGCCACTAGAGACTTTTATCAGTGTAAGGCTTCCTACCTTGTGTCTCTTTTTAACAGCCAATGGACTTGCTAGGCAGTTCTGTAAAAATGTAAAGAAATAATGAAAATGATGACAATAATTTAACCCAACGATGTTACGGGAGCACAAGGAGACATAATTTTTCTAGAAACAATTTTCATTGTTTTTCTGTGTATGATTTTTTAAATTTTGTATAATGTCAGCTGCATTTTTATGAGTCAAAAGGAAATTGAAAAGATGAATCAATAAGAAGCTTATTATTTTTACTTCCTGGTTTCAATAAAGTTTGGAAACAACGTCCACAGTGTCCGAAAAATTCAGATGTTATATTTATATGCAGGGATTTTTAAATCTCTTTAACACTGTGGATAATGAACTGCTATGTAACAGGGATTTTTAAATCTCTTTAACACTGTGGATAATGAACTGCTATGTAACAGGGATTTTTAAATCTCTTTAACACTGTGGATAATGAACTGCTATGTAACAGGGATTTTTAAATCTCTTTAACACTGTGGATAATGAACTGCTATGTAACAGGGATTTTTAAATCTCTTTAACACTGTGGATAATGAACTGCTATGTAACAGGGATTTTTAAATCTATTTGACACTGTGGATAATTAATTGCTATCTAATGGAGTGTCCAACACTTCAGCAATGCTCTGGGCTACAGCAAGATAAAAGTAGTGACAGTGTGCAATTATCAAGTATATTAACATGCCAGTGGGGGTCTTAAATAATTGATATAATAATTAAAGGACTGCATTCAAGCTAAGTAAATGAAATAGCAAAACGAGGTATGTGGAAGCTTGAATTTAAGGACAGGACAGTAAGATTAGAACGTTTCGGCATAGAGCCTTCCTCTGCGCACAGGACAAATGAAAATATCACAAGGAACAGAGCACAGTGAACAACTCAAGAAATGCCGAAATGTTCTAATCTTATTGTTCTGTCCTTAAATTTAAGCTTTCACATACCTCGTTTGCTATCATTTAAATAATGAAGAAAGCTTTAAATTAAAATTTTTAACTAAACTTTCTATGCCTAAGGGAGTGAGACATCAGCAAGAATTTAAATGTCAAGGGATTTAATTGTTGAGGGTTTAAAGTTTTGCACCACAAAACCAGTTTTAACCAAAACCGAAAATAAACTGTTAAAAGATAACTTTTGCTTTAAACCAAATATAAATCAAACATAAACCAAAGTTGATTATTTTTTGGGTGGACAAATCAAATGTTTGCGCTTTCTCTAAGTAGAAACATCTTAAAGACCTTGTCATTAATTAACATGGATAGACAAGGCCTGGTATTCTCTATCTTTCACTAACCTCAGCCAGGTCATAGTGGTACATACAGCAATAGTACACGGTGGTGACCACGGATAAATCAATTAGAGACCTCCTCCTTGGAAAATCTTTGAACAGCGTGCTCCTCCCCTCTGCTTCTAGCTTTGCATCGGATTCCTGTAGAGAATTTTGGTAAATTTTTTTATTTGACATTTGATTTTTAGAGAGAATCGTGTGTTAAAGTTGAGTTTAACGTCTCAGTAAACCATAGGCATAACGTAAATCAATTTACCTCAATAGGACGCTGCATCTCTAGCAGGTCAATGTACTCTTTAACCAAAGACGCACTGTGACTGAGTGAGTCGTCTGCTTGGAAGTTTGACCTGGTGGACACAGGTAAAACATTACAAGAGGTAATGACTTGAGAAGAAGAGAGAATGGAGGGTCTCAATTAAAGAGAACATTTATTGAGGGACACATTTTAGAATCAAAACTTTAAGTATCTATAATTAGTTCTTTCTATCATTCCTATCAGTCTTAATGGATTCTGTGGCTAAAAATTATGATGGATTCTGTGCCAAAAAAAATTATGATGGATTCTGCGCATAAAAAATTATGCTGGATTCTGTGCCTAACAGTTATGCTGAATTCTGTGCCTAATAGTTATTATGGCATCTGTGCCTAACAATTAAGCTGAATTCCTAGTCAATGCAAACATTTTAATTGCTTTTGTATTTTGACAGACATTTAAATTGTGCATCAACTAACGTTTCATGCATAAACATATGCCTCTAGCACCTTGGTATAAACTGCCACCTAACATTGATCCACTTATCATGCAGAAAATTTCTAACATTTATAACTCTAAACCATTTAGTCACTAAGCACAACGTCAATCAGGTCCCCAAAGTCTGGCACTGAGCCAACCCACCTTAATGAATCTTTCAGTTTTGATAACTTGACCACCACATCTGATGTTGGTAAAGCCAACTTGAATTTATAAACCTGCAGATCAAACATGGACAAATCAAAGAAAATCCGCAACAAAGAAATCACAGTGGAGCCTCGGTTAACAAACTTAATTCATTCCATGACTCTGTTCTTAAACCATACCATCTGCAAAGCAAAATAATTTTCTCCATCAAAAAGATTTTAAATTCAATTTTTCTTTTCCTGCCTTAGAGTTTTTGTATTTTTACATTTTTAAGTGCTCTTCTTTAATTAAAAATATAGGATTAAATTAGAATGTTCATGATTATAATCATATATCACTAAAATAAATGAAATAATACTGTATTGGAGATTGTATGTTGATAGTGGCGGCAGTGGAGTAAGAGGATAAAACTATCAAGACAAACGATGTTTACTGAAAATGCCACAAACTACTAACAGGCCTGTGGGCTTGTGTGCACAGGTGCAATCATATGTTCATAAGCCAAAGTATTTTTTGTTAACCTAGACAAAAATATGTTCACAAAACTTGTCCGTTAAACGATTTGTACGTTAACTGGGGCATTTTTATCTGTGGTTCAATTGTATTTAAATTTTAAAAAATCGATCAAGGGAACGCATTGAAACTTCAAAAACAAGAAGCTGGTCAGTTTTATTAAGTAAACAAATAAAACAAGCATAACTTACAGCAGCTTCTTCTCTTCTGCCCAAGGATCTGAAATTTTAAACATGTCTTTATCAGGTTGAAATGTAAGACCAAGAAAAACTGGGGAGATCAAAGGAAAATACTCCTTCTTATTTTTAATGCTATTTTTATTTTAGGATGAGTCAGTCACAAAGTCTGAAAATTTTTGTTAAACTCATCGGCAGGCAGCAAAGCTGAGTAAATAACGCTGCGACTTCTGGCCTAATTTCTGGGCGCTTGTTTTGATCTCCCTTTAACTGCATCACCATTTGTGTCAAGAAAGTAGAGGCAACCCATTTCATCACTGGCAAAGTTGGCTGCTGAATTACTGTTTTTAGTTCCAGAAGGTTTTTATTCTAAGAGTTTGCTCCTCTACACACACAAAAAAAAAGGATTAAAAAAAATATAATTATGGAGCAGACTGCAACCAACTGTAATAAGAACAAGCACATGATATCTTAAAGCACGAATGAACAACAGTGAATTTGTTTTAATATCTACATTCAGGCATCAAAAGAGAATGTGCTCAAACATTTCCCCAAGAACACCTGCATTGCTGAGTTGTATTAACCTCACACAAGATTTGTATTAGGGGGTTATCCTTTTTAACAGCACTTTAGCTTTAACAAGTCAAGCACAAAGACAGTGAGGCCCGCAGCTGAACTGACGCTATACAATTAAAAGTATTCAACCGCATGCAAACTCCTGGTCTAAAAACTCAGCTGGCCCAACAAGGCCTCTAAACATGGCACAATTTTTATAAATCCATAACGTGCTGGGCCCTGGTCAGGTTTTGGCTAGTAGCAATGCACAAATGATGCTCACAGTGAGCTAACTTGAACAAGGAATGACTCACACAAGTGTGCTGATGTATTCACCATGGTCGTAGTGAGCCTTCAGGTAGTTCAGGTAATGATTGGCCGCCACAGGACGTACAAAAATTTCTCTTGAAAATATCTGACTCGACACAGAGCGTTTCAGGAACAGAGCGGCCTTGAAAGAGACGAAACAACCAAGAACACAAGAATTATATGTAATTCAGTGGAACTTTTTTTAAAATTATTATTAAAGATTATAATATTGTTTTATCTTTGGTATATTTTATTAAATGCTGTATTTAAAGTTCCTTCAGATTCTAAAAGTATTTATTTCATTGATGAACATCATTTACCCCTTTGAGTGGCTTCTGGTTACAGATGGTTGGGCCCCATGCCAATGTCGGAGGCTCATGGTATTTAATGAATTAAAATTTTTAAAAAGAGAAAACCTGGTGCTTTAACCCAGAGTGAGCCATTACAATTGCTTTACAAGATACCAGTCTAGTATATATACATAAATTGGGTAAAACTTTCTGTTTAAGCTCGGTGAGACGGGGTCCTCATTTTGCCCCCTAATGTTAACTGTTGAATCTCTCAGAAATGTCACTTTGCCACTAATGTTAACAGTTTTATGTCCTAGAGATGTCACTTTGGCCCTAATGTAAACTCTGTTGTGTGTGAGACTGCTTCCTCACTTTGCCCCAAATGTAAACTCACAGCTGTTATGGCATTGCCGTCATGAAGCTTTGTGGCTTGGTCCAACACTTGCAGCTTGTCTTCCAAGGACTTGTACAATTCTAAGGAGAATTCCTGTTAGGAGTTCGAATAAAAACTGCTAAAATAAATCCATTTACCAGTAAAATATATTATAACCAGTAAATTAATGGCTACTTTTATTAATATTGCTTTAAAGTCTTTTTCTTTATACAAAGCACAGCAGACCTGTTTACCCTCAAACTCTTAAAAATCGTACAATATCATCACACATTCGTTCAATGCATTATTTTAATAGTAACAAAATAAACATACAGTATATATAATGTATACACCTCAAAATTGCACATTGTAGACCAAAATTGTAAGAGTAATCAGGTCTGGGACAGCATCTTTGGCCAAGCCATTCATAATTTTGCAGCAATTTTTTTAAAATATATTTTATGAGATTGTGCATGGGTTTGACAGACAGAACAAATGTAACAAGGACATCATACACAAGAAATGTGGAGGACAGTAACAGATTTTATGCAAAAAAATAATAGAATGATGGTGCAAAAAAAAAAAATCTTTTTGATAGTCAGTAATTCTTTCAATAGAAAAGATCTATACACCAAAGATAAAAAGGGTTATAGTTTGAGTTTATTAGATTTTTCTCCTTTGGGCTCACCTCTCCCTTTAAAATCCTCCTCAGTGTATTGTCTATCGGAGGCTTGATCCATCTGTCTTTCTTGGCACTCTTCAGTGTGGGGATTTAAAGAGATTTATATGTTTTGATAGGAAAAAATTTTTAGCCTCGAATTTACAAAAGTGGGCTTCACATCCTAATAAGCCTATTTTGTTTTTTCTCCCACTTCTCTTTCAAGTAAAGAGCGGTTGATGTGTCCTTTGTTATTAAACTGAAATTATAATTTTTTAAGTCTCTTGTCTGATAGAGTTGTGGTGATATCCATTAAAACTAATGCATTGCCAAATAACTATGCCCAGCCTAAATTTAAATTTCACACTTATCCTCTTGTTTGTAATGCTACAAGTGAACGTTAACTTTTCCTTACAAATCAACTGACTAACCAAAAGAGAGCGCCGCAGAGAATGAATTTCTTGCTGCAGTTTCTCAACATCCAATTTCGATGTGCTTCTTTTAATCTCTTCAGCGCTTGCTAGAAAATGGGGGAGGAGTGGGGGGGAGAGAGAGAGAGAGAGAGAGAAAGAGAAAGTATTAAATTTCATAAGTATCAAACTCAATAATCAATTCCAATTTATTTACAATTTATTTACAAAGTCATTTGAAAACACTACATGTTTTTGTTTCATTCAATATGTAGTTTGTTTCATTGAAAGTAATAAGAGATAATTACTGCATGTAAATTAGACTATTTAAAAATGCCAATAATTTTTCTATGCAAAATAAAGGCAATCCAATCACCAATAATTACATAAATTTTCTTAACTATTTCTGTCTGACTTTTCAAAAATCTTTTATATTAACTTTTCTTTTGGTAATGTGTTTATTTCTGACTGGGTGGCAAAATCTTCAGACAGCTTATTGACAGACTTTTGGTCCACCTAACGAGCTGAAACTTGGCATGTAGACTCATTGACAATGACAATATTGACAACACATTCTATCAAATTTTCAGCCCCACCCCAAAAAATTCAGTTTTTCCTGTTTTTTAAGGAGAACATGAAGGAAATATGATGATTTTAAAAAATAAAATTCACAATAACTGTGATGAATGAGGTTCTTTTTTAAAAAATATCACAAGGTGCGTAATAGTTTCTTTTGTTTTTCTGAAATGGTTGGTGAAATAAATATGTGGTGTAAAAGCGAGTGGAACATTAGAATACTAATATAATATAAAATAATAAAAATGCATAAAAAGGATTTATACCAAAAAAATTGTTATTACAGGTTGATTAATTCAAGCTTAGAATTATGTTCTGGATTCTTCTACCAAATCTCTACTAATCAAATATGAATTTTACCATCTTCTATATCCAATAAGCTGGAACTGCTGTGGGAAGTCAAGCCTATCATGGAGTTTGCTATTTTCATATAAAATAAGAGAAAGAAATATATCAGGACAAATTATTAGGACTTAAATGTAGAGTCAGAAAAATAAGAAACTTTGGGATTGAAATGGGTTTTTCACACAGGTTTTGAAATGATGGAAGAGATAGGAATAGGCTTGGTGAATTTCAAATAAGGGTATTTAATTTTATTCTTGTATTAAAATCTATATTGCATTTTTTTTTAAGTAGATGAATTAAAAATAGCTAATAAGTTAAGATTTTCCTTCAAGAAAAATAAAAATGTCATTATTGTCCTTCAATATAAACAAAGAAATTTATCATTTCTTTAAAAAAAATAATTTCTGTGTTATGCAATTTGTTTCATAATTAGCTTATGCCAAAATCAATTATAGTTGCTCTCTTAAAGAAGTTTATATTAAAGAAAAAAATATAATTTGATATTATAATTTGACAATCTAAAATTTTTAATTTTTTAAGAAAAATTGTGTTATTTTTTAAATGAAAAGTAATTTGTAATAATGTTTTTTTTTTGCTACAACATTGGGATTGTAAAAAAAAAAAATAATAAAGTATGGTCATTCTGGCATTGAAATGAAAATATGTTAGAGAATTAGTTTATTTTGCTTTTGAGAGCTTATCACAGATTAAATTCTTTGTCGTTATAACGAAATAAATATTGAATTGTCATCTAAAAAGTGAAAGTTTGTAATGACAAAAAAATTACAGACTCACACATGATTTGTCTTTTTTTATTGTCTTTTATTATAGAATGCTGTTTTATTTTTTTTTAAAAAGGCAAAAAATAAAATAAATAAAATTGATCACTTGAGAATTGGATGTATGCATTCCAGCTTCAAAATATTCTTTGACCATCTTACCAATAGACAGACTGCGTGACCTATTGTGTCCCACTGCTGAGGCACTTTTGAAGTTGGAATATGATGATGAACTGCTTACGGAGGCATGATTATCATACAATGAGCTACGTATTGCTGTGGCAGGAGCTCCAACAAGTGACAGGTCAGGCATAGAAGTGGGGGGTTCACCAGTAGACTCTATTTGATAGTTCACAATAAGTGGAATTGTAAATAGCAAATGTTATTTATTTTCTATTGTGCTGGACAAGAGAGATACCTCCAAAATCTTTCAATTTATTAATACATATCTTTAACTTTATCAATAGATTAGTCAATAAAACAATTAATTAATTTTGTTAAAATCATTTCAAAGCAAATAATGGATACATAACATGTAGTTTTGTGATTAAAATACTCCATGAGCTTTTGTTTTCCTTTTTTTTTTTCAAATTTTATATTCTTATTTAAAATAAAAATCCAAAGACAGATTAGGATATTTGAAGCTGAACTGTGAACTTATGGTGGATGGTATCCCCTTGGATCTAATTGCTTCCTTATGTACCAGCAATAACTCAAATTCTTTATGATTTTACTATTAAAAAATATCACTTGAAATGTGATTCTTTTTTCATTTTAATAGAAGAGATTAAAATCAATTACCTACGAAATGTCTTTAAAAAAAAAATTATTTATGCTTTATTTTTAATTATTTTTTTAAAGTCAAAATTTGAATAATAAAGTTATATCAATAATTCTACAGCCATTACTTTAACTTTTTAGCAACGTAAACAAAAAATGTATCATTTTAACAAGCTTTTTAATAATGAAGGGGAAAAAAATGTGTCAATGAATAATATAATAGGGAGTAGATTAATATAAAAAATAAAGTAAAATATGGAAGACACTGATATTATATCATAAACCGGTAGTAAATTTAAGAGCTTTCAAGCCAAAAAAAGAAGTGACACTTGTTTCCCAAGTCAACAAATGATAAAATGTGACAGAGACAGACCTCAAACAGTGACCCCCTGCTCAGAATCTGAGACAGCATAAATTTATTCTGACTTTATGTAGAAGAGATGTAAACAATGGAAATATTTTCTTAAGTGTTTAGTGCCATTGTGATAACAGAACTTAATAAGCCTGATGCGTTTTGGATCAAAAGGGAAAAATTTGGTACTTATACATTTATAAACCTACAGATAAAATTGCATTTTTGTAAAATATGAAATGAAGCATAACTAACAAAGCTGGGTTCGAGAATCTTGTCTTTTTTTAAATCAGGATGAATTCATTTTATTCAATTCAAATATCATTATTTAAAAAGGAAGGTTATAATAAAGTGTGGCTCTGGATCAGAGCCTAGATGTACCTACATGATAATTTATTATTACCTGTCAAATAAAAATAATTTAATAAAAATTAATTAATATTTAAAGAATAGCTACTAAAAACTTGAAAGAGTTTACACCTGGAAACTACATACGTCAGATTTAATATATACACTTGACATTAAACTTTAAGTTTAACTAACAAGGCTAAAAATCTGACAGTTTTATTGAAAAGTTGGGTTTTTTAATTTGTCATACTGGTAAAAGATATTTAGAAGTTATAAAAATAAACTTCGCAATGCTCTTAACATGAAAAAAAAAAATTATTATCTTGTTTGTGATCCATACTTTCACTATAATTTACACTTTACAATTATTCAGTCTTGGACTTGAGTTTAAAATTTCTATTCTATTTGGGTTCTAATCATCCCTATGAACAAAAATCCTTATGTTAGCCCCGGTTATCTTTGCTCTGTGCCAAAGGCAGATAAAAACTTTGGCACCATTAGCGTCATGTAAAGTCTTTATTGGAGATTTCAGCAGATTTGATGAAGTGTATATCTAAAATAAATGTTTCCACGTACTGTTATTGTATTTCACAACAGGGGTGCCATCAAATGTGATCTCCTCTTCTTCATCATAGTCATCATTCCTGGCTTGGGATGAAATGATGGTTTTTCGTGCCTGGTCCAAACTAACCTAAAGTTATGAGACAATTAACATTTATTAATGCTACAATAAGATTTGATAAGATTCTGTTATTGATACAAATAAATGGAAATGTTTTTTTATTACTTATTCATTTTCAGCACATAAATAAATACATATTTTAATCAAGACAACATATTAAAATTATAACAATTTTAACAATTTTAACACAAGACATCTAAAGTATTTCTCTAGCGTAGAAGTCAGCCATGAGTGAACTCCCTTAGTGATGATAATGACTTAATTAGTAATCATTTAGATTTGTTAACCACAGATAATAGTATTTATCCATGATTTTCTCTAAAGCTAAATGAAAGAGGAAACTCAGTTAATAGGGAATGATGAGTTTTGGTTAGCTAAAATCTAGAATATTCAATTTTTTAAAATGGGCTTTAATTTTAAATATGGTGAGTAGGGTTAGTTCATATGATATAAGATTTTATAAGATATCAGGGCAAAAAATAAAAATTTCAGAGATAAAAATTTTAATAAACTGAAAAGAAAACACACACATACTTAAAGCAATTTTCATATGTTATGTCCTTTAATCACTTGCAGGCCGACAAATTGAAGTTAGTCTCTTAATTAATTGCATAATATGAAAATTACAATTTTTATTTTAATTATCGAAGTGGCTATTCGTACCCAGGGACCAGAAGTGAGAGGTTGGGATTAAAAAACTATTTAAAATTTTATTGCCGGGTTTGTAAGACAAGGTGAGGTATCAAATAAAAGATAAGTGAAAGAACTATATTTTGTAAACTTAATTCGTCAGTTTAACTAACATCAACTACCACAAATGACATCTGAATAGCACTGAGTTAAAATGGACCCAGACACGCAGCGCCGCCATTCGCACCCTGGTACCATTAGACTCAAGCTAGTTAGATGTCATTTTTGGTAGTTTATTTTAGTTAAACTGAAAAAGTAAGTTTACAAACATATATTCCATTCAATTATCTTTCATTTGATACCTCATTTTGTCTTACAAACCCAACAATAATATTTTAAATAGTTTTTTAATCCCAACCTCTCACTTCTGGTACCCGGGGAACGAATAGTTGCAGCCTTTAATTATACTTAATGTCTATAACTGTAACCAAATAAAAGCTTGATACCTAATTTATCCCTTATTCAATCATATCACTTACAGCATCATCAAAAATGTTTGGCCTGGTCTTATTTCTTCTACTAGCTTTTTCAAACTCATCATCATCTGCCATTGCTAGAAATAAACAATGAAAATCCTTTTATTTATTGCAATTTATAGATATAAAAAATTTAAAAAATCAATATACTTGTACATAAGTTCATGTTATAAGTTTATTTAATTTCACTTTAACAACCAGCCCATAGTTATGTTTATATTATTTAAACTATGTACATGTCTACTCACTACCAGTGCTTAACACACAAAAGATTGAGTGAAGAGTAAGCCTGTAATGTAATTATTACCATAAATCAATTATAGACCTAATTCAGAGATAGTAATTTTATTTTATTATGATTAGTCATCAGCCTAGTCTTTAACAACCAAATTGTCAAGATGCTGGTCATTATGATCAGGAACTGTGAGAAGGAGGACAAGGACACCCACCCTGGGTGCCATCTTCAAAGATGTCTCCATTTTTCATGAAAAATATGTGGATTTTTTTGGGAAGAGGGTTTTAAATTCAGACCTTGCCCCAGCACTGCTTCGGCTTGCCCTGCCCAATTGTGATTCATACATGTACTCATTCTGTATGAATATTATGATTCATGAATCATAATATTCATATTCATAGTATGGACAGTAGGCCTCATATATGATATGTATCATACAGCTATTGACTATGCTACAACTATGCCTATGGCCTGTGCCGCCTATGGTCACGGTCTATACCATAGTAATACCAATAACTAGTGTTATAGTAGTATAATATATAGTATATTTTATTATAGCTATAGGCCTATACATTATTAATACTAGCAATAGCCTTAACTCAGCGGGTCTCAACCTGTGGGTCGCGACCCCTTTGGGGGTCGCATGACACTTTCCAAGGGGTCGCCTAAGACCATCGGAAAACACATTTACTCTACAGTAATGAAGTAGCAACGAAAATAATATTTTGTTTGGGGGGTCGCCACAACATGAGTAACTGTAATGAAGGGTCGCGACACAAGGAAAGTTGAGAACCACTGCCTTAACTGTTTTAACTTTACTTATTAATTACTGACTTAAGTCTTAAGAGTACTATAACTATATTATTATTAGGGCTAGGGCCTATACTTCTTAGGCTTAGGACTTCTAAAACAATAACAAGTTTGGTTGAAACTATTAGTTCAAATTAGTTGGCTAAAGCCTAAATACTAATTTCACTAGACAGAATCAGTAACAATAAATGATCATTATATTATTATTAAATCATATTCATTATTCTTATTCAGCTATCACCACACAGTGAATTGGCATCTCCATTATCCATTATCCATATCAGTATCAGTATCATATCAGTCATGAAATGAAATATGAAAATGAATGAGACATTGAATGAATGATGAATGAGATTGAATGACTACGATGACACTATGTGACTTTTCATTAGACCTATATATGTTCTTAATATTTTTATTCTCACTTTAAGTTGTGTTAAGTATGAGCATCAATATAGGTGCAATAGCATTATTTTAATTTAATTCATTATTATGATTACGCAAAGTGGTCAATAAAAGTTAGTATGAATTATCACTTTCGTTTTAAAAAGTGGGTTTGTTTACTTCCTGCCATGGGTTATACTACATTACGAAATATAAATACATTTATATAAAAATTCGAAATGGTATTGGAGTAATTATCGAGTTCAGTGAACCTGACTTAATATCAAGTTGAATCAAAATATTTAGACTGAAGATTCATTCGGTACAATTTTCTTTCAGCAAATCAACACATTCGACATGTCCTAAAATCTAACCAGTGTACACAACAGTTGTTTTTTTTCTATTCTATTCTTATTTGTAAGAAAGATAAATCATCAAATTGAATTAAGTTCTAAAGTCGAAAAGAAAAGTTAAATGGCTATTTTTAATTTATCTTGTTTTAATCTAGCAAAAATATATCTGCACTAACAATCATTTACAGGTAACACAAAACCTAAATCTTTTGACAAAAACGATCACATAATAAACATTTCTTGGCATTTTAAATTTAAAAATACATTAAAATAGGTCACATCAATCATCTTTAATATTGGGTAGCCTGGTCACAATATCATATCACTATCAAAAAGAAAACTATTTAAGTAATCGACAAATCTCAGGCAAGTTTTTCGGGTAGTTCGAAGTCTCCGACTTTGGCGCAGCTTTCGTAAGATTTTTTTTTTTAATATTTATTTATAAAAGTAATGTAGGCGTCTTGTGTCCGTCCAACATAATAACAATACCATGCCTATTTATTTCTGGAGAAAAAAAAATTAATAATGCAGTCCTGCTACATTTGGTATTTCTCATCCACTCATCCAAAAATATATAATGCTATTTCTTTTATCTATTCATCTATTCAAACATATGCGAAAATAAGGCTATGTACTCATACTTTCAAATAATACAAACCCCTGGCTTATTTTGAAATAAAATGAGAAAGTTGAAAATCCTCAGGACATAAAAATTCATATTAATATAAATTAACTAACATTTAATTTTCCAATAAACCCAAAAATTGAGTTTATTTGTATACATCTATTTCCGATAGCTAACTTACAGAAGAAAGCATGCGCACTCGAGAAACTGTCGGAACCGGTTGGCGAAGGCAGTGCCGATTTAGTATAAAGAAAAATGAGGCACGTGCCTAGGGGCCCCGCCTCTTTTCAATTTGATGCCCTCTGCATTCAAAGTAGGTAGGTAAAATTTTGATTCCATATCACAAATTTGGGCCCCTTAGCCTTAAATATTCGACGCACCTGAAGCCGCAAGGGAAACTTTTACTAAGACGGAAATTATCAACGGGAGGATTTTGACAGGACGTCGATTTTTTTTATTTTTTTTTATTTTTGTTTATATCAGTTGGGATAAATTGATTAAAAAGTACAATGTAAGCTGATTGGGTCAGGTACTAAGCGATCAAAAAAGATAAAACAAAAAGACTGTTCATATTTCTCAGTCATGATATCAGAGGTGTCTTCAGTGTTTGTTTTTCTAATGCCACTCTTTTTATTGGTTACCGCAAGACACGATTTCGTTGGGGTACAGCCGAGCAGCCTGAGCTCTACCAAACGCTATTTGAATGTCTAATGGGCGATAGCCTTCGACCGGGGGGGGGGGATGGCAAAATAGTAAATTAAGCTAAATTATCGTATATGCCTATATCCTTAGCGTAGGAAAGAAGGGAAAAACTCCAACCCTGCATTTTTATTTTTTTTTTTTTTATTTTAAGGAGGGGGAGACCCTTCACATACCCTTCATTTTCGCTCAGTTTTCATGCTTCGCCACAGACGCCGCATTTTCTAGGCATGGCGATCATATTAAACAAAAGGGGTTTGTGAATGGGACGATCCGCCCCATGTGGCACTTTTATTATATATCGAGGCGTGACACTTTCGGCCAACTGCCGATATTTTCTTCGTTCAAAGGGGGGGGGGCGGCAAAAAAAAAAAGCTTGACCCACCTCAAGCGGGAGCAACCCTAGCTAGGTCACTCCAGATATAACATTAAATGTACAAAAGCAAATTTCAAGGGCCCCGAAGATGTTGACTGCCTAGTGGACCTTCGGGGGTTTTGATCCGGCACTTGGCGGTAAAGCAAGACTCGCTTTGCCCTTTGTGTTGTCTCCATGATATTTGCCTCATATCCAAAAGCCTTGCTAACCTTACCCACGCCTTAGCCCAGTGGCTCGGCCCTGTTTCGACGCCGGAAACATACTAATAACATCCCTTTGGAGATGGTGTCGGTGGGTCGTAGAGTTTGCACTCATAATACCCCACCCCCCCCCCGGCACTCCCCACAGGGCCCAGAGCCGGGTCTCCCCGACTCCAGGCCCTGCGGAAGCGCGCCAGAAACTTCCCTCCTGGCCTGAGGGACGTCCGGTCGACCGAGGACGCTGCGTTTAAAGCGTCCGTAGTCCACTCTCCTATGGGTCAGGACGGCTTTACTTCCTCTCCGGGGAGGTGGTGTTGCGTTATCCCTCCCCACCGCGCAGGGAGCTGTTCGGAAACATACACACCTTTCAAACTAACTTTAATAATAAGAGGCTTGCTGGATGATCTCACCTCGTTGGATCCTTACTCTTACAGCGAAATTGTTGGTTGGGGGGGGGGGGCCGACTCAAAAAGTCTTATAGTGGCCCGGCCCTCCGGGGAGGTGGTGTTTCGTTAACCCTCCCCACCGCGCAGGGAGCTGTTCGGAAACATACACACCTTTCAAACTAACTTTAATAATAAGAGGCTTTCTGGATGATCTCACCTCGTTGGATCCTTACTCTTACAGCGAAATTGTTGGTTGGGGGGGGGGGGGACGACTCAAAAAGTCTTATAGTGGCCCGGCCCTCTTTCGACACCTGATAGGTCATGTACCCTAGATTGATGCATGTTGGTATAAATAAATGACTACCAAGAAATTGAGACAAATGGATACACATATTACATAAACATATTACATACACACATTACATATATACACATATTAAATACACATATTATATACACAAAAACTGTCTGATTAACAAGCTGTCAAACGTTGGAAGTCAAATTGTCAGCACATCTGCATGTTTAAATCTGGCAGATGATACGACTCGTGACAATTCACCATCTCAGTGTGTCTGAGGAGACGAGTAAAAAATGTCTATGTTGCCTTGACCTTTGATTACATGCTTTCTCACGCCCGTAATGTGTCACATTTCGACTAGGCATTGATGATTAACACTTCTACTGGGTGTTGATGTGTAACACTCCCACTAACCTATAAGTATTGAAATTAACACTGTGTCTCTTTAGGTATTAATGTGTAACACTTCCACTAGGTATTGATGTTAACACTGTGTACCATTTGGTATTGATGAGTAACACTTCCACTAGGTGTTGATGTTTATAGATAATCTCACAGGAATAGGTAAGCGGAAAAACCCAAACCCGCCTTAAAAAAAACAGCAGCCGGCACCCAGGTAAGAAGTGCCAAGCTTGAAAAGGCGTTAAATTTTTTTTTTTTGCAAAAGTGAACAAGACTGACAAAAGCCGACGAATGAAAACGTCTGAGGAAAAGGGGAGCTCACCCCCCACTGAATGGGTTCCCGCGAAGAGGTTTTCACAGCACCTTTCACCATTGAAAGACTTGCGTACGGCGCTACAATGTGTAAATTAGCCAAAGAACCAGGTCCAGAAAGTGTCTACAACGAAATGATTACTAACTTGAGAAGGCAAGCGAGATAAGAATTACTGGACCTGATAAAGAGAACCTGGACTACAGGCATATCGCCGCAAATATCCCAATCCCCAAAGATGGAAAACCAGGTGACCACCCGTCTAGCTATCGGCCACCATCCCTAACATCATGGTGCTTGGGGAGAATAGCTGATCGGATGGTAAATTTAAGGCTATACTGGTTTCTCGAGGGGGGGGGGGGACTAAGAGCTTACCACTGACACAAGGCGCCTTCCGCAAGGGACGCCAGCCGATGGACTAAGATGTCCCCTTTGTACAAACTATTACAAACGTACTGCACATGAGAAATCACACCGATGCAGTATTCTTTGATCTCCAGCAAACATAATATGACAAAGTTTGGCGCACAGACATCATATACACGCTGCAAGAATTGGGTGTCACTGCAAACTTATTCCATTGCATCCAGTCGCTCCAAACGAAGAGGACAATCGCAAGCAGAGAAGACGTCAAGATATCAAACCTGGTCGCAAAATGACTCTCGCACGATCGGCCTTGGGCTGCACCCCTGTTCTTAGCTTGTGTGCATGATATACAGAAAGAGCCGGAGCCGCAGAATGACATATTCGCTGGCGATCTGGTAATATGGAGCTTGGGGCGTTTTTTTTTTTTTTTTTACAGAAGCTGCAGACACGGCTACAAGAAGATCTGAAAAGAATCTCTCCTCCAAAGTGAAAAACAGTTGTCAGTGCGAATGAAACGGTCCGTTCCATTTTCACAAATTTCATAACCAGCATAAACAAGAATTGTGCGCCAAAGCCATGGCTGAACTAAATTTAGTGAAGGTACAAAAATAACTTTAAAAAAAAAAAAAAAAAAAAA